TAATCTATGAGTCAATGAAGAATTTAATGAGAAAGTGTTTTGAAGAGATGAAACTAAAAAAACAAAATCAAAATACATGATATAATTTCTACTGATCTTTGTTGTTGAGATAGGCAACAAACAGATGAGTTTTGCAAAGCTTTCCTTTGTCTTTGAAGATGAAATAAAATTCTTCCACAGTAAAGAAAAGTTAAAAGAATATACGTCTTGCAAACCTGGCTTACAAATGATACTTAAAGATGTTCTCTTGACAGAAAAGAGGAATAGTAGCCACCAAAACCAATGGCAAATGTGAAGAACATCCCAGTAAAATGATAACAGAAGATTAAATCAATGAACAACCCATTGCTAAAATGATAGGACCAAATTACCACCCATTCATAATAACCTTGAATGTAAATGGCTTAAGCTCAATCAAATGTCAAACCTCAAGACTGGATTAAAAAAACAGTAAGTGCAATTTAATTGAAAGTCTAAGAAATACTATTTTCAAGAACTGGGTATGTGTTAAGTCAATCTGAGTTTAGCATAATTATTATTTTTACATAAAGTTTCAACTGTATGTCTATAAGTATGTTCGGGTATAGTGGAAAAACTGGAAAAAGTCATGAGTATGTGAATTATTGCAAATACACTCACCGCACACACACATACACACTTTTAAGTGTAAGAATATTACTCACCTAATGCTCTGGTTAAAAAAAAATGACAATAATAATCATGATGACAATAAAATATTCAGATTTATAGGAATTTCAGGATTGTGATCATTTTTCTTTCTTTTGATCATAAACAGTTCAAAATTATTCCTTTCAAAAGAAAAACATGAAAAATAATATTTTCTACTGTGATATTCTGTATCTAATATTCTAGTGGAATATTCTGGCTGTTTGAGTATGTCGGTCAAATTTATGTGAGATCAAATTAGTACTCAAGATTTAAAGGAGAAACAGCCTTTTAAGTAACTAACTTAGAAGCCAGTGTTTCAAAGAAGCTACACTTGGCTTGCCCATATCAGAATGCCTGGTTTGACATCCCAGCTCTGCTATCCATTCAAGCTTCTTGCTAACGCATGCCATGTGAAACAGTCGGTGATGCTCAAGTCCTTGGGTCTGTACCACCCGTGTGGGAAACCTGGATGGAGTTCCCAGCTCCTGGTTTCAGCCTGAACCAGCCCCAGTTATTGCAGACATTTGGAGAATGAACCAGCACAGATTTCTCTGTGTCCATGTGTCTATCTTTGTTCCTCTTCATTTCAAATAAAATACAGAAAAAAAAAATGAGGATACTTGCATAGGTACAATTTTCTAGAAAGAATATGACACAAAGGTCTACTAAAATATGGAATAGGCAAGTGACACAAAACTTAAAGGTAAATGAAGTTCTATTATTAGAGTGTCTCCTTTAGGAAAGTTATGCCAAAATTAACATGAATCAGCTATATGGGACATGTCTGCAAAAAGAATGAGAAAATATTTCATATCTTTTTGATTTCCAAGGTTTTTTTCTAATAGTGGCCTGGAACTGATATTGTACAATGGGTTAAGCTATCAACTGTGAGACTCCATATCAGGGCTCTGCTTAAAATCTTGGTTGCTTCATTTCCAATCCAGCTACCTGCTGGTGCACCTGGGAAGCCAGTGAAGGATTGTCCAAGTATTTTAGGCCCCTGCCACCCACTTGGTAGACCTGGATGGAGTTTCCTAGCTCCTGACTTCAGACTAGCCATATGGGGAGTGAGCCAGCCAATAAAAGATATCTCCCACCCCTCTCTCTCTCCACCTTCTCCACCTCTCCCTCTGTTACTCCGACTTTCAAATAAATAAATAAAACTTTATTTTTAAAAAAGGAAGTAACTACTATGCTAAAATTAGTTTTCAATACAAGTCCCAAAATAATCTTGTCAAACCCAAGTTACAGAGATAGGTGTTTAACACAGAATTTAAGATGTCACTTGGGATGCCACATCCCATATTGGTGGTTCTGGGTCTAAGTCTCAGTCCCACTTCTATCTCCAGCTTCCTGCTAATGTGCATTCTGGGAAGTAGTAGACAATGACTAAGTCCTTGTGTCACCACCATTCCTGTGGGAGATCTGAATTGAGTTCTAAGTTGCTGGTTTATCCTGGTCAAGCACTGGTTATGGCAAAGATAAGCCTGTCCTTCCCTTCTCCCTCCATTTCTCTGTCTCTCTCTCTTTTCCTTCTGTCTCTCCCCCTCCCCTCTCCCTCTCTCCCACTCCTTGTCTCTTGCTCCCTTTCATTCTCTCCCTCTCTCCCAGTCTCCCTCCCTCTCTATCTCCCTCTCTGTCTTTCCCTCATCCTTTCTTCCTCTCCCTCTCTCCCTCCACTCTCTCTGCCTCTCCTCCTCTCTACCTCTCTCCATCTCTCAGTCCCTCTCCCCTCTTTCTCTCTTCCTCCCTTCTCCCTCTCTCCCTTGCTCTCTCCTTCTCCCCATTCCCCCATCCCTGTCTGTCCCTCTTGCTCTCCTTCCTCTCCTTCCCCCTCTCCTTCTCTGAATCTCTCCCTCCCCCTTCCCTCTCCTTTTCTCTCACCCTCCCTTCTACTCTCCCTCTCTGCAATCTCCCTTTCTTCCTCTCCCCTCTTTTCCTTTCTCCCCTTCCCCTTTCTTCCTCTGCACTCTCCCCTCTCCCCCTCCCTCTCTTCTCTCTCCCAGCCTCTCTCCCCCTCCCTTTCTCCCTCTCCATCTCTTCTACTCTCCCTTCCTCTCTTCTCCCTCTTTCTCTATCTCACTCTCTCTCCCTCACTCTCTCATCCTCTCCCTCTCTCTCCCTCATTTCCACTCTCTCTATTCTCTGTCCCTTTCTCCTTCTCTTCCTCTCTCCCCCTTCCTCTTTCTCTCCCTCTCCCTTCTTTTCCCCCTCTTTCCTACACTCTCCTTCTCTCCCTCTCTCAAACTCTCTCCCTCTATCTCTCACTCCTTTCTGCCTCTCCCTTCTCCCCACACCCCTCTCCCTCTCCTTCCTCTCCCGTCCTCTTTCCCTCTACCTAACTTTCCCTCCCCCTCTCCTTCTCTCCCTCTTCCTCCCTTTCTCTCTCTCTTGCTCTCCTCAATTCTTCAATGGTATTACTAAACTTTTATTCAAGATGAATTTAGCTTCTGCTGAGCCCGTTGTTACAGATCCCTCCCTGTGAGAGGAGTCCCAGTCCCACGCCACTGACAATAACTTTGGCCATATGACTTTTTTTCCAATGAACTATGATTATAATATTTCATGTCTGAGTAAAATTTTTAAGGATTATCACATGCTGCTGTTGGTTCCATGGCATAGCAAACTAAGGCTCTGCCTGCAATGCCACATCCCATATGGGCAGGAATCTGACTGCTGTACTTGCAATCCAGCTCACTGCTAATATCCTAGGAAAAGCAGAAAAGCATGGCCCATGTGCTTGGGTCCCTGAATGCACATGGGAGACCTGAAAGATGCTCCTGGCTCTTGACTACAAACAGGCCCAGCTCTAGCCACTGTGACCACTTCAGGAGTGAATCAGTGAATGGAAACACTCTCTCTCTCTCTCTCTCTCTCTCTCTCTCTCTCTCTCTCTCTCTTTCTCTCTCTCTCTCTCTCTCAACCCACCTTTCAAATTAAAAAAAAAATTATCACATGGTCCCACTATAACTCTTTCACTTTTACCATAAGAATAACTCCTTGAGCTTAGTTACCTGGATGAAGAGAACATAAAAAGAATCCTAGAAAATCTATGAAGGGTATATCACATAAAGCAAACAATGTTTTGCTGTAAGCCACTGAGACCTGCAAACTTTTTAAAAAGCACAATATGACTTAGAGAAAAGTGACTCATACTTCTTAATGGGACATGTTAGCGCCTTCGATTCAGTGCCTTCACATCTATGACTTCCTTTCCTACCGGCACTCACCAACAATAAAATCCAGCTTTGAAACAACTGAGCTCATGATTCTATCAGGGATCCATCTCTGTCCTCCCATTTACATTATCTCCTGCAAGAACCACCCTGAAGATGCCAGGAATTGGTTTAGGTGTGCCTCTTCTTACAGCACTCTCTACTTAGTCTACTCAAAACACTATAATCAAATTGCTGGTTTAGTGCATAAGCTGATTGGCGCAATGGACGGTGTTGGACCCTGTCCTAGCAAACTCACGCAAGAATCAGATCTGGGAACATCTCAGATGAAGTTTCTTTGGAGATCCCTTCAACTGAACTGCTGATCTCAGAACCCCAACCATGAAGAGACTATGTCAGCCAGTGGACTCTGAATAGGTTTCATTGCAATTGGAACGGCGAGATTGGCAGCAATCCAGAACTATTGAACTATCAAAACTGCTTGAGCAGGACCCTCGGAGCACGCTTCAAATTGGGGATCTGGGATGGGTGGGAGGCTAAGTGGACATTTTCCCTTTGTTCCTCCCCTGACCCCAGATACAGGGGGAAAATGATGATATTAGTGTGGAAACGATGATATTACCTGCTTTCACCCTGTAGTCCTTGACCCTTTGTACCCTAATCAATTAATTTTTTTAAAATTACTGGTTTAAATCACCTCCCCACTCTGGAAACCACATGATGGTATAGTGAGCTAAACCTCTACCTGTGGCTCTGGCATCCCATAGGGGAACGGGTTCTAGTCCCGACTGCTCCACTTCTCATCCAGCTCCTTGTTTATGGCCTGGGAAGGCAGCAGAGGATGGCCCAAAGCCTTGGGACCTTGCACCCATGTGGGAAACCCAGAATAAGTTCCTGGCTCCTGGCTTCAGATTGGCTCAGCTCCAGCCATTGTAATCAATGGAGGAGTAAACTAGCAAACGGAAAGTCTCTCTCTTTCTCTCAGTAAATGTACCTTTCAAATAAAAGTAAATACATCTTTTTAAAAAATTACCTCCCCCATACTTACCCAGTCTGTAAGTTCTAGGGCAGATGCTCTTATAGTCTTGTATACCACTGTGTTCATGAAAGAAATTTAATAAGTATTTATTAAATAAATTACTGAATTAGGCTTGATTTTTAACCTTTTATTTGTCATTACATTTCAGCACAGCAAAGCAAATACAGGTAAACATCAGTATTCTTACACAATAGCAGACAGAAAGGAAGGCCAGCCACAACCTAGAGTGCTTTTTCTTTTGTTATTATATTTGTTTAACACCTGAAGTTATGCTACTTTACTGATGAATGTGTTCAAACTTCCAAGAAAAGCTTATATTTCTAGCTATTTGCTATATATCCTCATCCAGATAATGCAACAAGATGGAAAGATTCCCAAAACATTTTGTAATGCCATCAAAACTCTTATACCAAAATACAACAGAGATACCAACTGGTCAGTCACATTTACATTACTGGACAATATATTAAAATGATTGAAACTTTTCAGGGTACCAAACAGGAACAAAACTTGAAAAGACGTAAGTTGACCTGGAACACAAATACCAAATACATTATGTAACACACACACACACACATCCCCCCCCAACACATGAGACTCGGGGCTCTCAGGGCCTGCCTTGCAAGGCCCCTCTGAGGGCTACACATTCCTCTATCTGAAGTTGTGAACAAAGAATTGCCTGCGCCCTGCATCAGCTCTGTTAGCTTCATCTTCGATTGCCTCCCTGTACTGCTGCGGCCAGTCCTGGGGCTCCTTCCTGTGGATTCTGGCCACATACCGCAGAGCTTTCATCTTGGAGGTTTCCAGGCGGGCTCTAGGACCCCACACAAACTCATACTGCACTGGGTCGCTGTCAGGAACCCGCAAACTGTCTATGTAGCGCTGACTCAGATACCTGCAGGTAATCACATGCTTTCTCCCAGACTGAACCCCTAGGCCCCGCAGGAAGGCCCAGACTGCAGACTCCTTGGCGTGGTTGCCCATAATAAAGATGAAGCTTAGAACCTGCATCAGGAAGTTGTTGCCAGGCCTGTTTGGACTGTCGACGATCTCTTCCGTGTCTTCCATTTCCCTTCGGTTGTAGAGCGTATAGGAGTGGTTTCTAGGATCAAGCACCACTAATTCTGTCCCATAGACATGGTTTAGGGTGCGAGCAGCACGATTCAGGAGGTCAGGGAACACCTTGCTGCACTCTCGGCCAATGTAGTACAGAATTCCCTTCTTTGGTATGGGCAGCTTCGTGGAATCCATAAGCAGAAACAGTTGCACCAGCTTCCTGGACTTGCTTTCCATTCTTGATTCAGGCCACGAATGCGGGGGGTATTTTGAGGGATAGGCAGAAACATCTAAATCAGGGTTTGGTACCTCTGCAGGAATTTCCTCGAAGTAGGGCCTCCTAAATTGAGGGAAAGCCTGCCATTCCTCAGCAGCCGCTCGAATAGCTTCTTCCTCCAGAGCCTCGTTGTATTGCTCTGGCCAGTCCATGGGATCCTTATTGTAGATCCTGGCCATGAACTTGAGGATTTTCATCTTGCTGGTTTCTAGGTGGGATCGTGGGCCCCAGAAAAATTCATATTCTACCTGTTCATGGTTGCTTATCGGCCTATAGTCCAGGTAGCGCTGCCACACAAACTCTATAGACAGAAGTCTCTTGGGGTTCCCAAAAACAGAAAGCCTCCTCTCTCGCTGTACCCCCATCCTCCAGAGCATCTCCCAAATCTCAGCCTCTCTGGCCTGGTTGCCATTTAAAAATATTTGTCCAAGAATCATCATCAGGAGCCCCATCTTAGGCCCATTGGGGATCTCTTCTAAGCCTTCAAAGGGCACAGGGCCCAATTTGTTGAGCAGAATGTAGGTGCGCTGCTCAGGGTCAAGCTCCTTCAATTCAAACCTAAAAATGCACTCCAGGTGGGCCGCAGCTCTTCTGAGAATCTCAGAGAACTGGCTGCGATATTCCTTATCAATATATTCTCGCATCTCAGACTCCCTGATAGGGTACTTGCTCTGATCTTTCACCAGCAGGAATTGTAGCAGCTCAGCTACATTCTGCTCCATGGGATCCTGGGGTTTCAGCGTTAGGACAACAGGCGAAGTGCCCAGGCCCATAATGGTTATGCAGTTGGAACTCTCACAGTCTCTCAGGACCTGGAATTCCATGGGGCCTGCTGCACCCTTGGGACCCTCATAGTCAGCAGAAGCCCTGACCACCTTACGGTTTGGCACAGCAACGGAGCACTTGCAGAGGTTCCGGCCCACGGAGGCACTAGGACTCAGCAGTGCAGCAGGCTCTTCAGAGGCCATGGGCAACCGAGAGGTGCTTGGACCCTCGCAGGGGTCGGGCAACATGGAAGTGCCACACCCCTTGGAGGCTCTGAGCTGCCCCGAAGTGCTCGGACCCTCGCAGGGGTCTGCCAGCACAGAAGCACTGCGTGCCTTGGAGGTGGTGGGCTGCACCGAGCGGCTCGGGCCCCCGCCATGCATGGGCGGCACGTTGAGGCCCTCCGAGGCGCTGGGCTGCCCCGAAGTGGTGCTCCTGCCCTTATCAGAAGTGGGTAGCACAGAAGCGCCGCGTCCCTTGGAGATGGTGGGCTGCACCCAGCGGCTGGAGCCCTCTGCAGGAGTGGGCGGCACCGAGCGACTCCGGCCCCCACCAGGGATGGCTGGCACGGAGGTGCCAAGTCCCTCCGAGGCGCTGGGCTCCCCCGAGGCGCTGGGGTCCTTAGCCAAGGTGGGCGGCCCCGCCGCGCTGGTGCCCTCGCTGGCGGGGGGCGGCACGGAGCGGCTGGATCCCTCCGAGGCGGTGGGCGGCGCCCGAGCGCGCGGGCCCTTGGCTGGGGAGGGCGGCGCCGAGATGGACCCCTCGGAGTCCGCGGGCTGCACGCAGGTGCTCTGGCCCTCGCCGGGGGCCGGTGGTGCACAGGCGCTGCAGCCCTCCGGCCCGGTGAGTGGCACCGAACTGTGGAGCCCCTCAGAGGTGACAGGAGACCCAGAGGCACTTGGGCCCTCACCGGGGGTGGGCGGCCCGCAGGTGTTGGACCCCGCCGAGACGGTGGGCTGCGGCGGCGAGGAGCTGGAGCCCGCGGGGGCGGGGGGCGGCACACAGGCGGCCGGGCCGTCACCGCGGGTGGGCGGCTCCGAAGTGCTGGAGCCCTCGGAGTCGCAGAGGCCCTGGGGGTCGTCTGGGCCTGGCATAGCGGGAGGGAGCTCGGGGGCGTTGGGGGCCTGCATTTCATCCCTGCCGCTGCCGTTCAGCGCAGTAGCCTTTGCACTGCGGCGCCGGCGGCGCGAATTCTGGCTTACCAGAGACATGGTCCTGTCGACCGAGCGGCGTAAGGGAGCAGACAGCCACAGGCCCGTGAGCTGGCACAGAGACAACGCGAGGTGTGGAGGAGCCTCCGCACAAAATTGCCGCTGGCGGTAACGCTGCTGCTGCTGCTGCCGCCGCCGCCGCAGCCGCTGCAGCTGCTGCTGCCGGGGCCGCCGCCGCTGCTGCCGCCGTCAGAACCAAAGTTGCAAGCAACTTGCTGGAGCTGATATTAGAGGTGGTGAAACACAAGAAAGGTTCTGGCCAACAGTGAACGCAAGTCTCAATATACTCCGCTTCTCACACCCCGCCTTCTGCCGCAGTCCGCGCAGGCGCACTCGGGCTCTGCGACAAGACGACCCCGCCTTGCGCAGCCCCTCCCCTGGGCCCCCAGACAGTGGATGTGATGGTTTTGCAGCAAAGCAGTGCACTAGTGGGAGGGAGACTTCGGTAGAGTAACACAAGGGGTTTGGAACAGATGTGTAGGGAAGAGGGAGCTAATAAATAATTTTGAGAATTAGGCTAATAATTAAAGAGCTTCTGTGCAGGATTGCCAGGCACCTTATAGATTCTCAGTTAATATCCTTAGGACTTGATGTTTTTTTCTCTGGTGGTCTCTGGAAGGGGAGAGCTCCCATTCCTACCAATATCTCCTCTATGATTTTCTGCATCAGGTCTCTGATAACTGTTTTCCTACTGTTGTAAGCTGGTAAGGACTTCACACTGGAAGATCGAAGCTCTGAGATTTAGCCCCAATTAGGAAGCCTGGAACAAGGCCCCACACCCCCCCAACTCTTACCAAAGCAGTAGATCACAACTTGCCTTTGGGAAACACTACCGCTCTTGAAAAATGGATTCATCTCATCATCCCTCAATCACTTGTGTGTGTACTTGAGGTCTGGGTTAGCTGAGATGTTGTGCATGGTTGTTACTGACGCTGTTCAACTTTGCTATTAATCTAGCACTTGTTGATCAGGTTCAAACCTCTTGACTCCATCATCCACTCATTCAACAAGCACTGATTATCTAGCTAGACATTTTTTTTTTCTTCATCTACCTAACTCTTAATGCAAAAGTGGGAGTCAAACAAAAGGAAGCAAAGAACAGTGGAGAGCAGCGTAGTTCTACCTAGAGATCCAGATAAGACTTCAGAGAAGAGTTGTTTAAAAGATGGATGGGGCCCGGCGCGGTGGCGCAAGTGGTTAAAGGTCCTCGCCTTGCACGCCCCGGATCCCATATGGGCGCCGGTTCTAATCCCGGCAGCCCTACTTCCCTTCCAGCTCCCTGCCTGTGGCCTGGGAAAGCAGTCGAGGACGGCCCAAAGCTTTGGGAACCTGCACCCGCATGGGAGACCCAGAAGAGGCTCCTGGCTTCGGATCGGCATAGCATCAACCGTTGCGGTCACTTAGGGAGTGAATCATCGGGCGGAAGATCTTCCTCTCTGTCTCTCCTCTCTGTATATCCGCCTTTCCAACAAAAAAAAATAATAAAAATAAATCTTTAAAAAAAAAAAGATGGATGGGCAGGTGTTGAAACAAAGGGTAACGGTATGAAAAGCATCCTGGGCCTGGCATGATGGCCCAGTGACTAAAGCCCCCACCTTGCATGCTCCAGGATCCCATGTGGGTGCCAGTTCGTATCCTGGCTGCTCCACTTTCCTTCCAGCTCCCTGCTTGTGGCCTAGGAAAGCAGTTGAGGATGGCCCAAAGCCTTGGGACCCTGCACCCGTGTGGGAGACCCACAAGAGACTCCTGGCTCCTGGCTTCAGATTGATTAGCTCAGCTCAGGCCATAGTAGACACTTGGGGAGTTAACCAGCAGGTACAAGATCTTTCCTTCTCTCCTTCCTATAAATCTGTCTTTACAATAAAAATAAATATTTATTTTAAAAAAAACTGTTTAAGAGCTGTTATTGTCTCCTAATGAGTAAAGCCATTGCCTACAATGTCAGTACCCCAAATGGGTACCAGTCTGGACCCTGACTGCTCCATTTCCCATCCATCTCCCTGCTTGTGGCCTGGGAAAGCAGCTGAGGACGGCCCAGAGCCTTGGGACCCTGCACTTGCATGGGGGACCCTGAAGAGGCTCCTAGCTCCTGGCTTCAGATAAGCTCAGCTCCAGCCATCGCAGCTGCTTGGGGAGTGAACCATTGGATGAAAGATCTTTTCCTTTCTCTGCCTTTCAAATAATCTGTTTTTTTAACAAATTCAAGTAAAATATGCATTATAAAAATATTATTTTGGGAACCAACAATTTTAAACCAAAACGTGTGTATCTTTTCATTACATTTTCCACAGACTCTTTAAGGTACCCTCATACGTGCTCTTAGTAACTCCACAACAATCTGGGAGTAAATTTTCTTTATACCTATTTGGGTAGAGGGGAAACATTGTCTATATTCACAAAGTGTCACCACTACTGTTTCCAACAGAAAAGCAATCCCACCTATCCCACAAGAACCAGATTCCCCATATATCATGCATCCAGCTCCAGCTATTCAAAGTTCAATGTGAATATTGACCCAAAGACCCCAAAAACCTAGGTTTTCCTGAGCTTCAGAAATATACATTCCAAAGCTGGAATCTGGTCATTTCTAAAGACTTTAAAGTTGTTCTAATTTTATAAACAACTAGCATTTTTGCCTCTGGAAATAGATTCTAAGGAAATCAGGCTATGTGAGGGGCTTTCAAAAGGTCTAGAGATATATGCACTATCAAAAAAAACTATAGATTTCAAAAACATTTGCAGCAAAATAGTTATTTTTAATTCTGTTCTTTCCACACACTTTTCCATATTATTATTATTATTTTTTGAGAGACAGATTGTTCCAATCTGCTGGCTCACTCCCAAAATGTCCACAATCATCAGGAATGTGTCAGGCTGAAGCTAGGAACTAGTCTTTCAATCTGGGATTCCTACAGGGGTGGCAGGAACACAATTACTTGAGCTATCACTGCTGCCTTTCAGAATCTGCATTAGCAGGAAACTGAACTCAGAAGCTGGAAGCATGTACTTATTCAGCTACACCAGTGAGGGACATTAGTATCTTGTTTTGAAAAGATTTATTTTTATTACAAAGACCGATATACAGAGAGGAGGAGAAACAGAGAGGAAGATCTTCCGTCCGATGGTTCACTCCCCAAGTGACTGAAGCAGCTGGTGCTGTGCTGATCCAGAATGAAAAGAAATTAAAAGAAAAGAAATAAATAGAGGAAGAGACACACACACACAAAAAAAAATAGAAAACTCTTCCATGTTTAATGATTGGAAGAATTAATGTCCTCAAAATGTCCATACTACCCAAGGTAATTTACAAATTCAATAGGATCTCAGTTAAAATACCAATTGCATTCTTCTCAGATCAAGGAAAAACAATGTGAAAATTCATATCGAAACACAAGCAACTCCAAGTAGCTAAAGCAATCTTAAACAAAACAACAAGTCAGAAGATTCACAATGTTGATTTCAAGACATGCTACAGGGCAGTTATAGTCGAAACAACCTGCAACTGGCACAAAACCAGACATGTAGACCAATGGAATAGAATAGGAACCCCAGGAATTAATTCACACATCTAGAACCAACTGATCTTTAACAAGTTAAAATCAATCCCTAGAGAAAGGACAGCTCTTCAGTAAATGTTGCTGGGAAAATTGAATCTATACATGCAAAAATATTGAAACAAAGCCTCTCCAAAAAGAAAAACAACTCACAATGGATCAAGGACCCAAATCTGTGATTTGATAAGCATCAAATTACTAGAGGAAAACTTAAGAGAGACACTGAAAGACATTGGCTTAGGCACAAGCAATAAAACAATAATAAACTGTTGAAATTATATCAAGCCAAATGGCTACTGTGAAACAACAACAACAAAAAAAAAAGACTAAACCAAGTGAAGAGGCAACCAACAGAATGGGAGAAAACATTTGCAAACCATTCAGCTAATGCAGGATTAATACCTAGAATATATAAAGAGCTCAAGAAAGTCAACAACAAAGCAAATAATCCACAAAAAAATGCAATCTTTAGGTGCAAAAATAACATTCTTTTTATTATTGTGCACAGCCTTTGTTTATACTCCTGGGAAACAGTAGGATGTTTTTGGTTTTTTTGTGGTTTTTGCTTCTGTTTTTTTCTTTTGTTTCTTGCTGGTTGTTTGTTATTATCAAATTATTATTGTTTTCTACTTGCTACATGTTGATATCATCACCTAATAGAGTATTAAACCTGTGATTGAAAAGAAAAATGAAAGCATGCTATTGTAAAAACTAGGGGGGAAAAAGAAATAAGGAATGAGGAAGGCAGGTGCAGAACATGGGCAATAGATGAAATTCAAATGTCCAACAGATGCTTATCATGTCATGATAACATCTAAATATCAGAAAATTAAGCATATAACCATGAACGGAGGAACTATACTATCATGATCACACAGGGACAATTAGTGAGAGGGGGGAAAATGGGGAGGTAGGGAAGGGAAGCGGAGGAATGAACCCCTATGCCTATAAAACTGGATCAGAGAAAATAAGCAATACATACATAAAGCAAGCAAGCTCAGGTTCACTAGCTATCAGAGAGATGCAAATAAAAACTACAATGAGGTTTTAACCTCACACGTTAGCAGAAATCAGAAGATAGTAAATGGTAGGAAGGATGTGGGGGAAAGGTACCCTAATATACTTTTGGTGGCAATGTAAACTCGTTGGGCTGGTACTGTAGCTCAGCAAGCTAATCCTCTGCCTTCAAGTGCATATGGATAGCAGTTTGTGTCCCGGCAGCTCCACTTCCCATCCAGCTCTTTGCTTATGGCCAGGGAAGGCAGTAGAGGATGGCCCAAGGGACATATCACCAGAAAGGTTCCCGCAAGAAAACGAAGAGGTGCAAAACGTGAACAATTTCAGTCGTATATAGAATTAAAATGCATGGAAGTGGCGAATCCAAGAATTTGACAGAACAAGCAAAAATATATATGACCACAAGATGGCAGTAACAAACAAGTATTG